GGAATGGAGTGGAGAGGGAAAGAGTTCCAGGTACTATTTTGTGAAAAGGCCTTTATTGCTAGGCAAGGGATCCAGGAGAAATCAGAGCATGGGAAGAGCCCAGACAGGTACCCAACTGCCAGGCTCTCAGGCAAACAGGAAGTTTTCTTGCCAGGTCATAAGATTAAAAGAGTAAATACATGTGCAGCACTAGAATGAGTGCCTGGCATCCTGGCCCTGTGGGGTACACCTGTAACCCCAGGGAGGGGCGGCTAAGGCAGAATCCCAAATTCAAGGTCAGCCCTGGCAATTTAGCTTCAATATTTTAAAAGGACTGGGGTGTAGCTCAGTGGTAGAGCACTGGAGGTCCTGGGTTGGATTATCAGTAATTGGGGAGTTGCTGGCATGCAGCAACTGCAGATTAACATTTTAACCCATTTCCTCCTGAGAGTAGTAGGGAGTCTAGACTTTAGACGCTGTGCAGTTTAGATTCCAGTTAACCTTCTGTCTCTTACTAGCTCTGACAACTTGGGGAAATTGCTCCTTTCAGTCTTGTTTCTTTATTTGTAAAATTAGGCCAACTTAGGCTGGGGGGTGTAGCTCAGTGGTACAGCGCTTGTCTGGAATGCGCGAAGCCAGGGGGGTTGGGGTGTCAACACCGGACCGTCGTAGGATTACGATTACCCTTGGTTTTTCGGTTGACTCAGATAAGCATAGTCCCGCCCCCACGGCCTGAGTAAGGGCCAATTGGGACTCCGACCGCCTCCCGGAAATGCGAGTTTCCACAAATCTGACAGCCCCGCCCCCCTTCCTGCACGCCAACTCTCGGCTCCACCCTCTTCTTCAGGCCAACCAGAGCCCGGTCCGCACGAGCTGTCTCGGCCCCTCCCCGCACCCCGCGCGGGTTCAGTGAGCTCCGCTAGCAGCCAGGAGTGAGTTGTCGGGTCTCCAACGAGGGGCGGAGCTGGAGGACGGTCAGGCCTCTGGGGGAGAGGTGGATTTTGGTTGTTTCTCCTTCACCTGGACCCAGGGGGTCTTCCCCATCCCCTATCCAACTCCCCGGAGACTGGCCCGGATAGTTTCCCAAGAAGGTCGCAATTCAGAAATCCAGAAGAAACTACTGGGAGCTGCTGCGAAAGGCAGCTAATTAATGACACTTTTCTAATAAAAGCGTTTTTCTGCGTGTCAGGCTGTGTTGAAGGCTTTTTTTGGGGGGGTTTCATTTGATCCCAATGACAGATGAGGAAAAGGAGGTGCACAGAGCTTAAACCCTTCCCAATGACACAAAGCTAGTTTCAGGGGAGCCCGGGCTCAGATGCCAGAGTCCGCGTTCTTTCCTCCGCGCCCAGGGAGAAGCCTAGAGGTGACCAGAGAGGGAAAGTGCGAAATTGAGAGAAAATAAGAGCTGAAGGAGAGAAATGGAGACCCGAAGGAAAAGGAAGTCCTGAAAAGTAGAGCAGAGACAACGCAGGGAGGGTGATTAAGAAGGGAAGATGAGTTTGAGAGGCAGAAAGAAGAGAAGAGGCGGAGGTCTGCACAAGGGTGGGAAAGCAGGAGGGTGAACAGGCGGGGACAGACACCCAGAGAGGAAAGAGACCCAGAGAAGGAGGCAGAGGGGACTGAGCTAGACACCCGAGTGGCCGACTCAGTGCTGCCCGCGCGCTCTCACACACACACGCGCGCGCACACACACACACACACACTCGGGTGGCGCTGGAAGGAGGCACAGGCGCGAGCTCTCCGCAGAGTCTTTATTAATGTGGGTGGGCGGGGCGCTCAGGGCGCGTCCAGCAGCAGCAGCTTGTGCATGTACGAGTTCAGCCAGTGGCGGCGCTCGAGGGCGGCCAACAGCCTCGCGCGCTCTCGGAAGGCCGCGTCGTCCGCCAGCGCCAGGCTCCGCCGCAACAGTGGGGTGACTGGACCCCACGAGGCCCGGCCGGGGGTGCGGAGACTGTAGGGAGACGGAAGGACCCATTACCTGAGGCCAGGCCCCCGCCCATTGCAGGCGGTCCTTCCTGCGGTCTAACTCGAAGCTCCAATACTGCACCGTGGTCTCCCTGCCCGCCCCCGTCCCCTCTCCTCTCAGTCGGTGTCTCTGTTTCTGTGGATCTGTCCCCCGCCACCCCTCCCCAGGTCGGAATCGCTCTTAGAATCCAGACCGAGTCCCACGCACTTGTCGGGCCCCAGCGCTCAGCGCACTACCTGGCAAAATAGAACCCAATAAGCGTTGCTCCAAGAAGGAATCCGTTTCCGCACCGAGTCTCTCTACACCTTTCTCGGAATCGGCCTTTGGGATCTCTTTCTCTTGCTGATTCTCGGTCCGCCCTCCCCCTAACATCCCCACCGCCCCTTCAGGCCAGTCTCTGTCCTCTCTCTGGGTTTCTTCGCCCGCTCCTGGGGTCTCTCCGCACGCCTCGGGTTCCCACCCCCTCCCAGGACCTCGCACCTACCTGAAGATCCCGGCAGGAGGCAGGGCCACACCTGAGGCAGTGCGGGTGCCCCAGGGCACAAGCAGCAACAGCAGCAGCAGCAGCCGCCGCACCCGGGGGCTCCTGGTCACCTGGCGGGTCTCCATCACCTGTGGAGGAGAGAGAAGGAAGAGCTCCTACAGTCTAACCCGGACCAGAACCCCGGACCCCATCCTCCCTTTACCCCAACAACCTCCTGCAGGTCCCCTACCGCTCAGTGGGCTTGGGCAGCGACGCCGTAGCCCCCTTATATCTTTTCCACAGCCCCCGGCGGGAGTGACGCAGGCCGGGCTGGGGGCGCTCGGTCAATTCCCCACACAGGCTCATTAGGAGCCGCCTGCGATAATGAGGAGCCCGGGGTGGGGGCCTGGCCGCTTCCTTGGCGGCCACCAACTAATTGGGACCAGGAGCTGAGACCTGAGAAGAGGAAGGGGGAGAGACAGAGACACAGAGGTGGGCACAGGGTGGGTGTGTCAGAGGGATAAAAATAGAGACTGCAGAGGGACCATAGGAGCAGAAATCAGAGACACAGAAAGAGCCCGGGAAAACAAGAGAGAGGAGGAGAAACAGACAAATGGGAGAAACTGTCACAGGAAGGAAGGACAAAGAGGGTGACCAAGCAAGGGAAGGAGAGCAAGAAAGGAAGCAGCAGAGGAAGAGAGGCAGAGGAAGGAAACAAGAGAGAGACAGAGCCAGGCCCCTGTGGAAGGTGGAGGGAAAATGATCTCAGAGAGAAGGGAAGGAAAGATAGCAGTAGAGGGGCACAAGTTCAGAGACCCCCCCAAGGGAGAGAGCAGGCCCCACAGCAGGGGGGGGGGCGAGGCTGGAAGTACCAAAGGGCTTCACGTGGGACATAAGCATCTGAATCCCAGTTCCCCAGAGAGGACATATACAGAGCTTGGATTCTTAGGTCTATGATTGGATGGGACAGGGACCCTATTTCCTGACTTTGGGAAGGAATTGCTGGGGACCTGGATTCCTGAATCTGGGGAAGGAGGGAGCTGGAGGTCTGCATTCCTGGGTCTGATAGGAAGGAGATGGGGGCCCTGTCTCAGCGGGTTCAGGTAGGAAAGTACCAGGACCTAAATCCTTGGCTTTTGGGGGTTGGGCGAGGCAGAGGGCCAGACCCTTGGTTTCAAAGGGAAGGTAGTTTGGGTCACATCCTCCCCACATCACTCAGTCACTAACTCCCTTCTCCACTCAAAAGACACACACAAAAAAACTATGTCCTTTATCTCTGTCCCTTTAAGAACCTAAGTGCTGTTGCTAGGTTCCCAGGATCCCCGGGGAGGGGGTCAGGTGCGTCACTGTGCACCTCTGAGACCCTAGCTCCTGCTGCCCCACCCAGAGTCATTCTGCAGCACTGACAGGTCTTTGCATCTAGCTCTGCTCACCTGCTGTTATCTTGGACACCGTTGAGCAGGTAAGAGACCCCAAGTGACCCTGTCCCATCCAGGCATCTGCTGCCTCCACCTGCACCTGACCACAGACCAATGCATCTCTGTTCAGACCAGCCCCTGAAATGTGGAGATCCTAGCTCCATCCTTGATAAACAGGGAGACCCAAAGCTCCTGCCCCAAAGCTCCCCCCTGACCCAGCTGAGGAGTCCAGTCCTCCAGAGCCTATTTCTGGAGGGCCTAGGACTCAGAGCTCCCAAACTCCTTCTAACTGGGCCCAAGAGTTCCAGACCCCTATGTCCTTTCTCCCCCTATTCTCCAGCCCTGCAAGCCTTACTCCCTCAAATGTCTAGCATTTATTTATTTATTTATTTATTTAATTTATTTTTATACCAGGGATTGAACCCAAGGATGCTTAACCACTGAGCCACATCCTCAGCCCATTTTTATTTTTTATTTTGAGACAGTCTCACTAGGTTGCTTAGGGCCTCCCTAAATTACTGAGACTGGCTTTGAACCAGCAATCCTCCTGCCTCAGGCTCCCAAATCTCTGGGATTACAGGTGTGTGTCACTACTCCAGGCTTGAACTTCCAGTCTTCTAATCTCTGGAAAGAACCAGGGATTTAAACGTTAGCGCCCTCACCCTGCAGTATCCAGGATCCTGAACCCCCATCAACCTTCTTGCCCAGAACCCAAATGTCTTCCTTCTCTCTCAGATCCCAGATTCCAGCCCAAAAGCTGTTCCTTGGGTTCCGTGTAAACAATTGTTGAGTCAAGGAGCTCTGGAGGGTTTGTCCCCTGGGAGATCTGACACCCACCAAAGTTAAAGTGCAGGATGTATGGGGGCTTAGAGAGGTGTCATGTTTTTCCAGTTTTCTGGGACCTCTTAGAGAAACAGGTAAGGAAATTAACTACCACCCCCAAGAAGCCCAGCGCTTCTGTCTTCCTTAGCGACGGCGCTTACAGCCCTACAGCCTTTGGGGAGCTGCAATGGGGTTCTGCTCCTTTCCTTGGCACCAAGCAGGGCCCTAGAGGGACCGGGTCCACTTGGGAGCCAGTAGAAGTGGCCTCTGGGGAGTGGGTGGGGCTTGGGAGGCTTCGACCTTAACCCCTTCCTTCCTGCTCCTCCAACAGCTACAGGCATCTCCCAGAGCTATGAAATCTTTCAACCCGAACCTCTTCCTCCTGGTCTTCCTCCTGGCCCAGCTGGGTTCCAAGGCCGCCCCCTCAGCCTCTCCACCTCTTGACTCTGACTTTAAGGGGATGGACCATCCCTCTGAGACCTCCCCTGGTGCTTCTGAAAATTCCACTAAAGATTGGCCTAACCCAGAATTCCCTGGGACTGTTTATCCTGAGCCCTCTGAGACCCCTAATACGGTTTCTCCTGAGACCTCCCACTTCGACGTCACTGAGACTCTCAATCTTCACCTCCAAGAAACTTCATACCCCAAGTCCCCTGAGACCCCTAAGCCTGAATTACACACAACCTCAGTATCAGCTCCCCTGGATACCCCCAAAACTAACCCCTTCAAAGTGACGGAAACTTCTGAGACTCCCAAACCTGACCCGACTGGAAATCCACACCCAAGATCCCCTGAGACCCCCCAACCTAATTTCTCAGAAACTTCACACCCAGAATTTCCTGAGATCGAAAACACTGACCCTATACAGACTACACACCAAGAATTCCCAGAGAATCCTCAACTTAATACCACTGAAGTCTCACATGCTAAAACCCCTGAGGCCCCAAATCCTGACGCCACCAAGGCCCTTGATCCCAAATCTCTAGAAACCCAGGACACTGATACCACTGAGATCCCAAAGTCTGAATTTCCTGAAACAAGCCATCCTGACCCTACTGAAACCCCCCATCCAGAGTCCCTTGTGATCTACTCCAGCCCTACTGACATTCCTCAAACAGAGTCCCCCCCAACCCACTACCAAGATGCAACAGAGATCTCCACGACCTCTGAGCCTGAAACCTCCACTAGTCTTCACCCAGAAACGCTTATGTCCCTCGAGGATGAAGTCACTGCCTTAAATGGACTGCACCTGAACCCCCCAGCAGAGACCCATACAGCCCCACAGCCTGACCTCTCTAAACTGCCCACCTCAGATTCTCCAGGGACCAGTGAGCTGAAGGCCCCTCAGAACTCTGGCCCTAAAGGGCCGGACACTCCTCCTCCCTCAGCCAGGATCGCAGGTCCCCCAGTTTCTCAAGAGCTCCCCAATCAGCAGGCCCCTGCAACACCCCGACCTCAGAGACGCAGCAGAGGTGACAGAGTCAACACTATCATTGTGGTGGAGCGAGTGAAAGAGACCGGTGAGGGGCTGGGCCTGGACCCCCCAGTCTGAGGGAGGAGGCTGGGCCTGGACCCTGGGTCTGAGGGAGGAGGCTGGGCCTGGACCCTGGGCCTGGGGGAGGAGGCTGGGGCTGGACCCCCAGGTGGGAGGGAGGAGGCTGGGCCTCGACCCCCCGGGTCTGAGGGAGGAGGCTGGGCCTGGACCCTGGGTCTGAGGGAGGGGGCTGGGCCTGGACCCTGGGTCTGGGAGGAAGAAACTAGATTGGATTGCCCCTCTCCTGCTTCAGGGGTGACTCTGGTGGGACGCCCACGTGGCGCGACAGGAGGGGCCCTGTGCCTGTTCTTTGCGGGGACGGGGCTGCTGATCGGCATCTTCCTGCTGCTGTGGTGTCTCTACCGCCGGGCGGCCCAACAGCGGTCCTTCGCCCACCACCGGCTCCCGGACGGCGGGGATGAGCCAGGTGAGTCCTGCTTTCCCTGGAAGGTCTGCACGTTTCCTTAACCTTCTGGGCGCTTTAGGGCGCCCTGCCAAAAAATGCAGAACCCCATTCAAGACCAATAAAAGCCCCCCCCAAGGCCACGTCCTGCCCTCCTGTTATCTGAAGTTTCACAAACACACCCCAGGTCCTCCCCAAGGCAGTTGGCACCGGCCCCTCCCGGGGCTCTGCAGCGGCCCTGATTTCCCCGCCCCCTTCAAGGCCCCGCCCCTTCCCGTGGAACCACCCCCCCCTCCAGAGGCCCTCAACCTTTTCTTTAAAACCCAGTTCAAATGGATGGTCGGAATCTCTCCGATCTCCTCATCGGCCCGAGGCCCAGGAGACCGACAGGCCCCGGTCGCCAGACCCCGTCCTCCGGGGGATGACCCCTCCCCTTTGCTTTCACAGTCTTGCATTTGGACACCCCGAAGGACCCCTACGACCTCTACTTTTATGCACCGGATGCCTGGGTCCCTTCACACATCGCCACCAAGCAGCCCCCTCCCACACCCCCACTACCACCCAAGCTGCCCCCGCCACCACGCGGGGGTCGGCCCCAGCGCCTGGAGTCGCTGTCCCCGGCCACGCTCCCCAACAACTTCGTGTGAACCCCTTCCGGGCCCTCTCGGACCCGTGCGTTGCTAAGGGGAGGGAGAACCCAGAGGTCCTGTCCTCCTGGAAGGCTTGGCTGCTTAGTGGAGCTCCCCAGTAGAGGATCCGAGAAACAGAAAACGCTTTCGCTGATCTGAGAATCGGGCTGAGGCCGAATAAATCAGGTGTTCCCACAGCTTGAGACCTCCAACCTGCGTTCTGGGCGCCAGGGGCAGGGGTCAGAGTTGGCTGTGACTGAGGAAGAAGGGAGCAGGTTAGTGGCTGGTACTTTGGGATCTGAGAAGAGGGTACCTGGATCTGAGAGTGGAGGGCTGGGGCCTGGACCCCTGGGTCTGAGGGAGGAGGGCTGAGGGTCAGAATTCCTGTGACCTTACAACCCAGGACAACCGAGTCTGTACACCAAAGCATTTTATTGGAGTGGGGCAGGGCAGGATTTACAATCACAGAGTCAGACACCAAGACACGACCCTGCCCCAGGAAAAACACTCCTTTCCCCAGTCCCACTCCCTTTCCTGGGATTCTGTGACTTCTCCTACATATGTTCCCCAAATTCTAAACTGAAAGAGGGGTATCTGAGAGGGGAAGGATCCCAGACTTTAAGTCATTTAGCCCCTGAGGGACACAACAAATGGCCACTGAGAAACTTCGGGTAGTCTGATACCACCCAGGAGAATAAAGTGCAAGGAATTGGGGGAAGTGGGGGCATCTTGAAACCACCATGGGGAAGTTCAATGGTGGTGGCTTCAAACCATTGAATTAATAGACTAGAGCAGCCACTATTTAGACCTGAAAACTGTATCAGAAAAAGTGCACGGGGGAGGGGAGGAAGGCATGTTGTTAAAACTGCCATTTTGGTTGTTTCCCTGGACGTTGTGCAAAGCTAGGGAGAAGGTTGGTGAATTTGGTGCATCAGCAGAATCTGCTGGTGGGAGGGGGAGGGGGGAGGGGGGAGGGGTTGAAACCGCCGTTTTTTCCCTCAGAAACGCTGGTGAGAATGAATCCCTGGAATGGCGGGGATGGGGAATTGGTAAACCAGCCTAGGAAATGCAGAAGAGTTAGGAGAGATTTGGAAATTCTAGAGGAGGACCTTGAACTTTTCTGGGGAGGGGGACTGAGGAATCTCAGGGATTAACCTGAGAGTCTCTGGGGTTAAAGGAAAGGAGGGGGGTGCCTCAAAACCACAAGAGTAAGAGATTGAACTGTCGGTTCAAATAAAGCCCTGAAAGGAGAGATTTGAAACCACTGAGGCAGAACAAGTAGAGAAGGGAAACTTCAAGGGGAATTGGGTATTCTTGAAACTGCCAGTCTGCAGCTTCACTCCCCCTGAGAGGCAGTTGGGAAGGGAAGAGGTTTTGACAGCACTGGGGATAAGGGAAAGTGCGTCTTAGGCCTGGCAGGACAGAGAGGAGTGGGGTTCCTTGACACTGCCACTCAGGCCAGAGACATATGAAGTGGAGGTCCTGGAAACTGCCATTCAGTGGGAGGCACATGGTCAGTAGTCCCGGACAGGGGGTGGGGGCCTGGGAGGCTGAACCGTGCTGTGGGTTGCCCCATAGGAAGGAGGGGGAGCAGGGGGTGCTCCAGGGGGCTCCGCTTCATCCTCCATTTCACTTTCATCACTGCCAGCCAGCTGGTCATGGCCAACGAACCCACACTTCTCTTCACTCATCTCTTCGGGCTCTGCCCATGGCTGCTTCTCTCCAGAGGCAAAGACCCCATAGAAGATGACACCCCCATAGTGCACCAGGGAGGCAATTAGGAACACGTACTGCCACTCCTCCCGAGTCTGTATGTGGGACAACAGAGGATCAGGTCAAGTAAGAGGACAGACAGACAGGGATAGAGAGTGGACAAGGTGGGGGCTTTGGGAGGATAAGCAAAGAAAGGGAGGCTGAGGTTCTGAGAGCAGAAAGGGCAAGCAGTGGAGCCCAGGTGACACACGTGGTCAAGAAACAGCCAGGCATACATCTGGAGGGCAAGGGAGCCAGGTCTGCACACTGACCTTGTGCTTAGTCATGGCACCCACGATGATAGGGCACACCATGCCTGACAACGTGCCCACGCCGTTGGAAATGCCCATGAGGATGCTGGCATAGCGCGGAGCGATGTCCAGGTGGTTTACATTGAACCCTGGCATGGAGGCAAGCCACGAGGCTTCACACCAGGACTCCCACGGGATGTCCCAGACCCCAAGGGCAACTTCCTTTCTTTTGGGGGGGGGGGGGGAGGATACCAGGAATTGAACCCAGGAATCACTTAATCACTGAGCCACATCCCCAGCCCATTTCATTTTCATTTTGAGACAGGGTCTCCATAAGTTGCTTAGGGCCTCATTAGTTGCTAAGGCTGGCTTTGAACTTCCTATCCTCCTGCCTCAGCCTCTGGAGCCACTGAACCCCACCCCCCCCCCCCCCCCCCCACCTTTTAGTCCACCTTTTGTAAGGCAGGAAGGTCCATTTCTGAGCCAGGAAGCTCCCTATATGTCTGACCAACACCCCACAAGCTGTGGATCTGCGGTTCTCACCAGAGATGGCGAAGCCACTGAAGCCCACTGCAAGGACCAGGAAGGAGATGGCCACGCCTTTGGAGTGTGAGTAGCCAACCACCAACAGCAGCGTGGCTTCCATGCCAAAGCCTAAGGAGGGCCGTGTCTCCTGAGTGCCCACCGAGGCGGGGTGCAGGCTGCCCCAGACGCCCTGCCCAGACCGGTTCCCATCCCGATCTTTCTCTGCATCCCAGATGGGTGACCTCTGTACTGGGCCCAGGATTTTTCTCTCATTCCTCCAGACCCAGGAGCAGGCCCCTGGTTTCCCAAGACCAGCCTTTGCCACAGTCCCCTAACTAAGCCACACCCGGAAGCTGCAAGATCTGAACCACATTTGTGCACCTTCATGCCCTCCCTCTGTCACTTCCCCCCAACACACACACACACACACACACACACACACTGTAGACAGCATGCCCCTGCAGATCCCTGCCAATCACTCATAGGCCCTAATGTCCTGCTCTGCCCAGTCACTTGAAGGCCCGCACTTTCATACCCAGCTTGGTCTCGAACACCCTCCTTGCCCTTACACGCGCGGCCTCTGAGACTGGTGCATGAGAATCTGTTCCTTGCAGGCTTGCCTTCATCCCTCCAACCCCGCTATGCCAACCCCGCGCTGTCCCATTAACCGCGCCTTTGACTACGCCTTTAGGCCTCGCCCATCGCAGGACACCCACTCATTGTATTCGTCCGACCTCTCTCTGCTGTGAGGTCCAGACCACTCACCCCCGCAGTTCATCAACTTGCGCACGTTGGTGGTGGACATGATGCGGCGGCTCCGCAGGAAGTCCGCAATCTGACCCCCAATGGGCACGATGATAGTCATGACCAGATGGGGCAGCGCTGACACCAGGCCCACCTGCAGGAGCAGGTGTTGGGGTGCCGTCAGAGATTGCTGATCCGCTGTCTCTGCCTGCAGATGCTCCACCGGCTTCTCCCTGCCTGGGGATCCCTCTCTCACCCCCGCGGCGCCCTCCTCCTGGGCCTACCTTGCTGATCTCAAAGCCAAACACTTCTTCAAAGTACGCGGGCTGGGAGATGAGGAGCAGGTAGAAGGTCCAACTGCGGCAGAAGTTAGCCACGATGATGGCATAGACTGGCATAGACGTGAAGAAGCGCCTCCAGGGTGTGTTAAATTTCTGGGGGGTTGGGGAATGGGAGAGGCCGCTAAGATGGAGACAGAGCTAGATGCTTCTCCGTGTCCCTCCAGTGACCCCACTACAGTCCCGTAGAGATCCGGGGATCCTGAACTCTAGGGATCTAAGGGCACTGGCCATCCTATTTCCCCATGGGGACCCCAAGGGATTTCAACCTCACCCCAATATTTCAGGGATGAAGGGGTGCATCCTGGCTCTCCGGTGGCCTCTCAGGTTCTCAGGTGTCAGCTCTATGAGACCCTCAGGGACCCATATACATTGAGCCCAGGAGTTTCTCTATTGGTCACCCCCCCTAAATCTAAATTCATCCACCCCAAGGACTAGCAAACCCCCCACCTTCGGATCCTCCTCCGGCTGCTTTGAACCCCACCTCACTAGCAGTTCCAATTCCACCCACCTCCCGACCTAACCCCGCCCCCAGCACCTGCTAATCCTGTCCTCCAGGGAGCGTAATGGGCTCCTAGATTCTAGTTTTTGTGTTCCAGTCCTGTCTCCTCAAGTCTACAGGAACCCGCCGTCACGTGCGAGCCCAGACATCCCTCCCCGCCCGCCCAGCTTGGCCCCGGACCGTAACAGGGTTCATGAGTTTGGCGCTCTCGCCGATGGCGTCCTCGATGTACTTGCGCTCCTCCTCGGAGATGCTGGGGTGCAGTGCAGGGGACTCATAGGAGACAAGCAACCAGAACAGATACCAGAAGATCCCGAAGCTGCCTGAAGGGGGTCAGGAGGGCATGGGAACGGGGTGACGACGGGCCCCGCTCCGCCCCAGAGCCACCTGGAACCAGGCGTCGGGGGCCCTCACCGTAGACGTAGAAAACAGAGCTCCATCCCGAATACTGCACCAAGACCCCCGCGAGGGGCATCGCGACCACCGCCCCAGCATAGGAACCTAAAGAAGAGGACGCTGGCTAGAAAACTGGTTCATCTTCCCTGGACTCAGGAATGTGGACCCTCGGACCTCGCCTTTCTGGGACCCCAAGGGATTTCAACCCTTAAATAGCGCAACTTAAAATAGCGGAAAGTCTGAAGGAAAGACCACACCCCTTCTCCCTCGGATGCAGGAATTGGGTCCTCAGCTCCTTTCTCTCACCGCAAAAGGCTGTCGTCGCCAGGCGACTCCGTTCTAAGGGAGGGGCCCATTTGCTCCAGATCCCGTGGCAGGCAGGGTATGTGACCCCCTAGGTAGGGAAAAAAAAAAAAAAAAACAAGGTCAAGGAGAAGGGGCGGGGTCGGATGGGGGGCGGGGTCGGATGGGGGGCGGGGTCGTATGAGGCTGGGCTTTACCTCTACCAAC